GCTGAGTTTATGCAAGAACTGAGCTAACTACTTCAATTCCATATGTTGTTCCTGAGCACAGAGTACAAAATCCTTGAAAGTGACAATCTCACGGGAGATGGTCTGGAAACGAGAACCCCGACAAAATGCACAGTTTCCTTCTGAAAGGATGTTGTAGGATCTCACAGATAATACGGCCTCTTCAGCATGTGGCTGTGTAAACAAGGGCCTAACACACTGTTTCATTACTCAGATTTTATACTACAACTGGGGTAATGCAACAAAACTAAAGCAGAGAGATCAGTTTGCTATGCTAAGTGATTTGCCTCCCACTCTGAAAATCAATGAGGTAAATAAAATGTTTTCTACAAGATACCAGACACTGACAGTGTCCTTCAGCTCACATAATGCTCATGTTTTTTAAAAAATATTCCTACTAGGTTACTCTTGAATAGATGCAAAGTGTTTAACACTTCATTCAGGTTTTGCTATTTACATGCTTTGTTTGCTTTTGCTGAGTTCTGCTCATTTGCTGAATCGCCCTTTAAGTTGCACTTTTCTTGCCTATTTCTCTTGGTAACTTCCGGGCACTACCAGAAGACTGCTCGAATTCACAGTACCGCAGGGGAGCAAATATTTCACTGCAATTCCAGAAAGGTAAGTTTGAAGAATATTACAATTGAATATAAACTTTAAGAAACCTTCCTTGAAAAGTAAACTTACATTGTGTACCTAACATTAACTGACTTTATATTCCTTTAATCCCCATTTTCCTTCTGCTCCCAGTAAGGTTGCTATACTCACCTGTGCTGGAAAACAGATCTCACACACAAGTGCACATAATAAATGACAACATAAGGTTATATGTTATATGTACTCATACAGAAGTTAATCTCAATAAAGTGCTGTAAAGCTGCACGCAGAAATATAAGCGATATTTGCAGGTGACAGCCTGGTGAAATTCTGCTGGTTGCAGTGGAGTTGTCCTCTCTCCCATTAGGCTGGATTTGGCCTTTCTAGTCACCGAATAACATGAAGACACTTCCATAGCTACTTTTTTTTAATTTTGGGGGTTTCCAAGATCCGTCAATGACCCTAATGTAAGGAGACGGTTATCACAAGGCTAGGCATAAACCCTATACTATGAACCGTAGGGTCACTGGGATAAAATCTTTGACAGTTTCCAGTGGCACAGCTCTGTGGACACTAAGGGAATTACAACAGCTTCAAACAGTCATATACCTTGGTGCATCAGATCGTATTGAACCTGTGCAGCAAGCAGAGCAGCAGTAGGGGTACTCAAACGACAGATCTGCCAACCTCACTTAAATGTCTTCCTACTGACATTTAAAACCTCAGTCTGCAACATACCACAAGTATTAAGGACTGCAATCCAGCAGTGAAACTCAGAAGCCCAACACACATCTGCCCCAGCAGAGAAATAACAACTCTAAGACTGACCATTAATTTTATTCTCAAAGCACATGCATACTCTTGTTTAATTTCGGCTGCCCTAGCCTCCCCCCCCATCACTGAATTATTGTTATTATGCTTCACATAGTCCTAGTACTGACAGGGATGTTTGTTAAACATAATTAAAGATATTAATTTTGCATGGAACAGAAGACACAGAGCCAAGAATTTAATTTTTTTTAAATGTCCCATTAGAAAATTACCTTCATTAGCACCGACTCGCTGAGCTTCTCTCTGTTGACAATTTTTATCGCAACCTTTTGACATGTGACACAGTGAACCCCCAACTTCACAAGCCCTGCAGAAGAAATAGGGAGAGCAAAAGAAAAAGAAAGAAAGAATTTGTTAGAGATATTGACTGCTTTTTGCTATTAGTATCTTACCCAGCAGTTGGCCATTTATATGAAAATGAATTTCCACTCGTCCCTCCTGCTGCCTGATAAAGTCTTGTGAATAATGAAGAACCTGCAGCCCACGTTATGACCATTTGGCAGTGAGGCTGCCAACATGCTTAATGGTGCTGCAATTTCTACCATCAAAGCTGTATTTTTGCTGAAACACTGTATTCCAGCTCTCACCACTCCAAGCGCGTTCTACCAGTAAGACGCAAACTTTTGACAATTTAACTGCACTAGACTAGGAGCTTTTGGCAACACCCGACATCAATGAAAGCTCAGACATCAACAAAATGAGATGGTCAAATGTCTGCAGTGTAGATGTGACCACTACATTTCTTCTAGCTCTTTCCAAAGCTTTCATGTTCAGGATAAAAAGGTACTTAATAGGGTTTTCCCTTACTATTTTAATTTACCCTGCTGTATAAGGCTAACGCTGTGATGAACACCATTATGGCACGGAGGAACACCAACATGTCTGGATATAACACTATATCCTTGTTATTATTTACTATATTCTTGTTATACAAAAACAACTTAAAGTGCAACTAAATGCTTACCTCTGCAAAAGGATATGGATATCCCGGTCTCCTAGAGTGTCTGAGGTTTTACCACAAATACGGGACAAAACTCAAAGAATTAATTAAAGCCAAAAGGTAAGTGACATAAGTAAAGCATTATCTTCTGCAGAACTTTGATGTCAATCTGCTGACTTACACCAAAGTATACTGAGGTATCTCCCATGAGCGATAAAACTGTGCATCTGAGTTAATTATGGTCCCCTGAGCTCTCAGCTCTACCTCCATTAAGGAAAGCTCTACCCTGGAAAATTTTACTTCATAGGCCTATTCAAGAGAGATCTGTTTGCCTCAACTTTTACTCTTGCATATCCTGCACGATGCCCTAATAGGCTGGCTTCCATCCCACCCCACATATAACGTGCCAAATTGTCGTTTGGTTTAATTCAGTTTTAACTTGAGTAAGAAGTGGCACCTCACTGGGCCACTAGGACCTGCTGGGCTTGGCAGCACGTTTCTGAGCACCGATGCTGCCCAGGGAGAGAGCTCAGCTCTCAGCTCCTCGGCTGCGTTGCGGTTAAGAGCCCTTCTCCCTCCCCTGCCCCAAACTACAAAGCCAAACACGTTGCTCTGTCTGCCAAGGGAATAGAACAGGCCTGCAGTCCACACAAGCAGCGAGCATAGGCCTTCACACTTTTTCATAGCAGGGTGAAATATGTAGACCGCTACCTCACTAAAACTGTCCCCAGTGAAGTGAACAGGAATTTCATCAGTGACTCCAGCAATCTGCTACAGAGCTTTGCCTTTTTTTTGGCTACACAGTCAATCATAAATGTTCAACCATTCATCTCTGGTCATAATACTGAGAAACAAAACCCAAACTCACTTGTAGTCACATCTCTTCTATGCTGTGCTCAAGTTTGGGGGTTATTTCTAGTCGCATAATTTCTCAGTCTCATCTGGTTAAATGCTTACACACTTACTTTTCAGCCACGACATAAACAAGTCACAAAAATCAAGAGCACTGAGCGCTGACAAATCCATTTGAAAGCGAGTACAGCAACAGCCTGTCCTCTGCCTGAAGCAGCTGAGAGCACAGCTGGGGGAAGATGCAGCAATGACTGGCCAATCCTCACTCTTACGTTTGAATTGTATTTACTTAATAAATTTACAGTATTACCCACAGCATTGCTGGCTCGATGTTCACCCTTCCTAGCAGATAGAGTCTTACTCCTCCTTTTTCTCCTTGGCTTTGTGCTGGGCTTGGGCAATGGCTACTTGGCAGTGCTTTGTTGAAAGCACGTGGACTTTTAATCTGTGCCTACCACTTTCTGCTTTCAACACAAGTCACAGCTCTACATCACTCTTAGAGCAAAACCACATTGCTCTGTGCACCTCTCTTAAACCCTTCCCCTTACATTTCCAAACCTTGGCTCAGTCCTTTGTAGCCAGACCCCCGGGACACGTGACACTGTGCCGCATTTCAACCTGCTACAGAACAATTGCTTTAAGAGGCCAACGAAGGTGTCAAAGGACTAATCTCTGCAACTGGTCCTCCACCCCTGAAGAAAATATATAGACTTCTGGTATCTCGCTCTTCAGGAGATGATTTTACATACTCTTGCTCCCAGATCAAGACATCTGTTCCACTGCACTTGCTGATCTATAAGTTATTTTCCCTTTATCCTCACTGAAACATCTTGTCATTAGTCTTAAAAGGGTTTTGACCTTAAGCTTCTGGGACACCATCACACTGGATAGGCAATCTTCACTGTCTCCTCCCTCTTTATGGCTATTAGCCTACCACAGAAGCTTGAAAGTTCAGATTAAATCATTCCGCTTACTCTGATAACAAGAGTTCATCAAATATTAGAAGACATCACGCATCTTGTAAAAATCACACTGATACTATAATGATTTTATATTGAAATAATTCCGCGAACTTCAAGAAGTTATTCTTAATTTACACTGGCGTACCAGAGAACAGAATGAGCTCTTATGCATGTGGGATTCAATACGTTTTTCCTCTTTTCCTGATTCATGTTTTAAAAATAAAAAATGCAGAAAAAAATGCAGAAATTTAGTACTGCTGTCTCTTTTCTGGAGATGGAGAAGACACCTCTCTGAACAGCCCAAGATATCCCTTCTCACTGTACTAAATTCACTGAATGTAGTTTTGGGGTAAAAATAAAACATGTTGCTCTGCCTTGACCCCCCCACCCCAAGCCACCTCCTTTTGACGTTCACATGCCAGCCTAATAAAAATCCCTGCTCTTGGTAGCCCATTTATAAAATAAGGTCCTCCTTTCCTAAGAGAAATTCTTATCCGAGCTTGGACAGGAAGGACTTGTGCTTTGCACTTCAGTTTGGTAACTCCACTCTACTGAGTTATCACTCAGAAATGACTTATATAGGGATTTGAACTCCTGTGGCCTTCTGATGCTTAGGATACCCTTTTACTGACATAGAGAACATACAACAATCAAGGTATATTATTTATCGGACTAATGACAGACCCTTAGAGAGAATAAGGAGCAACTATGTCAGTAAACTGCTGAGGTGCTATTGTAATGGAAGTGGCAGAAATGCATGTTTAGAAGCAAGTGTCCAAGGTGCTGCCTACAAGGTTGAGGCAGAGGCTGCGGATTTTCCACTTCTTTCTCCACTGTACACACAGCTCTTAATGAGCACCTTGATCCTATAGTGAAGCTCCAATACAAACGTGCCAGTAAGTTAGATATTTGCTTGTACAGCTTATCTGTGCGTTCTGGCCACCAGAGGTACCTGTGTGGTCCCCAGAGGAAAACAAACAAGGCTGCTGCTAAGAAGATATTTTGCACTGGCTTGGCTCAAAGCAACTTTGCCAGGCAACAAATAGAGTTTGAACTGATCAGCTACATCAGTCATTAAAACCTAAAACACGTAATCTTCATGACTGTTAAGTTTAACTCTGGTCTGTCCTGGCAGAAACACTGAGACGCTGTGGAAATCAAACAATTGCAAACTGAAGTTCCACCTAACAACGCGTTACCATACATGCTCTCTCATCCCAGGCAGACTTCTGATTTCTATCCGCAGGTAAATCCAGGGGCACTGACATGCCAGGACTCTCAAATAGGCTGTTACAGCTTATGAGCTGCAAACATTGGGCTGCTTTCGGTCTTAGCCACTGCACTTCACCAGAAACAGAGCCCTATAATTTCAGGTCAGGGAGGAAAGAAGAAAAAATGCACACACGCAAAAGCAGGGGATGTGCAAGCTAACACTGTCTTTTCATTTACAATTAAAAGCCATGAGGTGAAAACCAAAGGGACCATATGGCTGTTCTCCACAAAAAAAGAAAAAGAAAAAAAGGAAACCCAGATGACACAAGGCAGAGCTGACATGCAAAGAAAAGCAAAGGGAAACTTATAGGTCTGACACGTCTTAATGCTGCCCTGTCCTGCTAACTAACATGCCCGAGCATTTTGCTGCTGGTAAACTCCCACTGTGCAGAGGCTTACAGATCTTACACAGATCTTTTCTGAAAAGGACAGGGGCTTACGTGGTGAGCAGGGGACAGATCACATTAGCTGGATAGTGGACAGTCCATCCTGGGGCAGTACAGATAGGAATCCTTTCTTTTACCCAAACAGAAGATACTGCAGAGACGGAGAAAAAAAAGCTTTCCTCCAGCTGAGATACAGACACAGTGAATCCCAGATGTGCACAAAGTCATCTCTGTGACCTATACTGTAACTGACAATCACCTCCATGACTTCGCAACCAAGGACAGGATTTCGGGGGAGCCTGATTCACTTTGACCTTATATTCTGTGTAGTAATTTGCTCTAAGGCAGAGCGACTGAAATACCAACAGTTTGGAGAGGGTGCTATTTCATACCCACTTTGCAAGTGTGTAAATAATGACAGGAGGGAACATGTCTGTGGGCACTAACCCCTTACAATCAATCCCCGCTATTACAGTTAAGACTTGAGTCTTTGTGAGAGTAAGAAACATTCTGGGAACATTAGAGAATTGTTTTTCCAATCGTATCCAAACTTGGGTTCTGCCACAGATATCAATCTGAAGCAAATTATCATTTTGGGAGAGAGACTAATAAATCATAAAATAACACTACTGTTTAAATATAAAGTTCATGTTACACTCAGAGTCCACGAGTAACGTTCCCCTAGTCTTTCAGAAATGCTAAACACAAGTCACTAAATTCTGTTTTTTAAACTATTAGGCCAGTAAGTACTTTAAGAAGTGGAATGGAAAATGAGTTATATTTGCTGCATTTAATAGATGTAACTTTTCCATTGGTAAGTGGAGGCCTTTCAGTTTCTTCTGAAACAAAACCAATACTTACAAATATGCCATTAGTTTGGTAAAGCTCTGAAATC